AGAAAAGTGAGAAAATGTGTACTACCATCAGAGCACATGCATGACGAAGTCAATGAAGTAGGACCGTACAAGTGTCTACTGAACCCATCTCACGCTTCAGACTCGAGAGGGCTTGACAAAAAATGACATAACCAATAACATAATAATAGCACCTGTTATTTCCTACAGTGATGATATTGCTGTATTGCTATACTGAATATAATTATTGGTGGTCGTTGTGATGCTGTTTGTTTTAGTTTTAGTAACGAATGTTTTACCGCAAATACAACATAATTAGGTCATATATACATACCGAAGATTTGAGGTCTAACAAAAGAGTAATAGACACACAGAAAAAAGGAGTAGAGATAAACGAATTAGATGTTTGATAGGAAAGAAGGAGGAGTAAGCCACACTAGGGCACCCACGTTGTGATGTTAGACTCAGCAGTGTTGGCAAGGGTAGTGGTGACCCAAAGGTCATCGTACGTCATCACAGTATTCATAGGAGGCAGAAAAAATCGGCATACGTTGACACAGTTAGGTACTCACTCGAAGTTGACAGTTAGATCTAAGTACTCACTTGCAGTTGACATAATTAGATCTAAGTACTCACTCGCAAGGGCTCGGCAGTCACGCTGTAAGGTCCCCGAGTTGTACTCACTCAGGATCTCCACCAGACAGAAAGTCTCTGTGAGCAGAAGGTTTTGAGTTTAAAGAGACTCATACACGTTCTAAAAAGCGTCAAAATTCTGCAACAAAATTTTGATATCAAAATGTTGAGGCAAACTTTGAATGTGTGTAGGGCGTTTTGTTGTCAAAAATAGATTTGAATCAACATTTTGACGGATCAAAATATATTTTTGGACAGGTCTTAAAAGTCTTTATGCGTGTTTGGGCCATTGTAAAAATTTGGATCAAACTTTTATATTTGGCAGGTGACCTCCAAGAAGACAGGATCGTTTCTGCTTCTCTCTTTCTCTCTCTCTCTTCATCTCTTTCTCTCTCTCTCCTTCTCTCCCTTTCCTCACTCTTTCCTTATCTCTTTCGTTGTCTTCTCCCGCTCACCTCTTCTCCCCCTCTCTCCTTCTATTTTCCTCTTTCTATATTTCGTGACCTTTCTTTCTCATATCATAAATCAAACCAAGTTTTCGATTTTCCCCGTTTTTTCTGTTAATCACAAAGTTATGTGAAGAAGAAAAGAAGCCGCAGAAAAAGGACCCCCCCCGAAGAACAAAGAGAATGCTAATATGACTCAGTGATCTCATCGCAAAAATAGGGGACCAAACAACAGCTGGGACTTCTGACCAAGGATTGTGGTGAGTGTAAAGAGTGTATTTGAGACCAATGCTTCATATGGCCCCGTGCATACAAAAGAAAATGTCCACTCGTCACACAACCGCGAAGTATGGCATAATAAATATGCAAATTCGCAGCCGTGCGATGCGCGGACATTTCCCTAGTGTAAAAAGCCATATAGAAAGTAAGTAAGGAAAAGGGAGGACGAAGGAGAGGCAGACAGAAGAAGAGAAGGGGGGAGATAACATCTGAGAATGGACAGCCATGGAACTGCGGGACACACTCAGGAAAGGAGACAACTAGCCGAGAGGAGTGGAGGAGGTTTATTGTCTTCTCTCAGAGGCCACCCAACGGATGACAAATTTTATTCATCTACGGGAGCGGAAGAGAAGAAGTTAGCATGGCAATAACGCACACGCGCAGAAATATCTTTACCTGGAAGAACTCTCTCATGTTGGCCACGTGCTCTCCCTCCCACTCGCCCGTGTCTCTGATACCGTTGGAGATCATGTTGTCCACGCGCGGGGAGTGCACACAGATCCTGGTGGGAGGGGTGTCCGGCGGGACTCTCAGAGGCACGCAGTCAGGCAGATCCTCTCTCTGTTTCTGAACTTGTGGTATATCCCGGTTACGATTCCTGCCATTCTGTGTGTTAACGCCATTGTAAGCAGACGGTCTGTCATTCCCCAGGTTTGTGCCTCTGCCTCTAAACTTTGGACCATTCACAGAATCAGTGTCTTTACCAAACTCTGGATCCTTCACTGAGTTAGCACCTTTGCTTCTAAACTTTGGATCATTCCCCGAGTTAGCACCTTTGCTTCTAAACTTTGGATCATTCCCCGAGTAAGCACCTTTGCTTCTAAACTTTGGATCATTCCCCGAGTTAGCGCCTGTGTCCCCAGACTTAGGAAAATTCAACAAATTTGAATCTCCAATTCTTGAACGTGGACTTTTCCTTGGACGAGGTCTGTAGGAGCGTTTGGCCCGAGGAGAACCCTGATCGTCATCGTTCGGAGGTTTTGTGAAATGTGGCACCTCGTTTGACCACGTGCGACCGAAGTTGGTAAAATTCAAATTACGTAGAAAAAAAACGTGAACGTGGACTTCCGGGTCATCTTTTACATCATTATGCGTCTCCTCACGTTCAGGAACAGGTACATGCTTCAGGCCTTTGTACAAGGGAAACATGGAGATGACATAATTGCTGTCGGTGTCGATGTAATAGTTTTCCACAGGTTTGGCCGTGCTTGTTTGTTCGAAAAAAAGTCTCTGTAGGTAAGGTTCTAGTGCAAAGTTCACCACAGGAGAATGGTCAGCAATTTGGGAATCATTACAAATCCATTCTGGCTTCGGGAGCAGCTTTACGAAAACATAGATTCCGAAGAGAGCAAAGACCATTAAAGCCCATCTCCTGGGATTTTTTCTATGGATTACATCCATTGCGCCAGCTCACAAAACCAGCTGCCGCCCACAAAGCTGTTGCCTTCAGCGTCATGGCATGGAAACAAAAGTTATTAGGGCGAAGTACGATATGTTCATGTCATTCGGTTTGGATGGTGTCATCTGCGGGTCTGGGCGGTTTGAGGAAGTGGGATGGGAATTGCTTTGGGAGGGGGGGGGGGAGAGAATTTGTGTGACTTTCTGGACGTCACTCTGAAAGAAAGAACGCAGAAACATGCATTAAGCCAAGCTCGGTTACATTGTTCATTGGTCATTGAAACAACAACAAAACACACACATACAGACAGCAGCAAAGAAATGTTCATAAGTGTTAATATTATGTACATGTACCGTAAATTAGGGGACTTGCACCTCCTACTTTCGTGCAGTAAGTAGGCTTTATTTACTTTCGCTCAGCAATATGGGTTTGGGGGGGGGGGGGGGGGGTCGATGGCAAATTACGAAATCAGACTGCAAACATCCCAAATATATAATATAACAATGACTGTTGATGTGTCACAGAAGTAAATGATTTCATCGTGAATGGTAAGGTAAACCAAACGTCGCTAAAACGACTCCAGGAATAAACATTGAGAGTATAGTTTAACCCGTTTAACCTAACACATACATACGCATGTACAAAGAGGAACACAGGGGCACACAGAGGCACACACTAACACATACATATACAGACAGCTGCTGAGCCACTGGAACAACGAGAGAAACAAAACGCTACAGAAATTATTGGAAAATTGTGGGGATGGGGGGGGGGGGGGGGTCCAAAACATTGAGTTCCACAAGGATGGAATTGTTCTGCTTTCAGCGTGTACATTGGCATAAATAGGCAACATGAAATATTTAAAATCAAGCTTACTTTATGTTCATTCCGTTGGTGCATTGCTAGGACCATGAGGAATTTTATCGGGTAGAACCTATTCTAGGAATGAACGTAATATAGGTACCAACGCGTTTCAGATAAATAGAGCTAAACACAGTTATAAAAAATAGATCTACACGTACTTGCCAGTGTAAGTAATTCCTGTCTTGCTTCGGAACGATTTTTACTTTGTCACCATTCTGTTGTGGAAACGGAGTACGAAGCAATGCCAAATTCGTCGTTGCTGGAGTACAGTATAATCTAACACGTTTCTTGTTTAGAACATTTTTCTCCATAAAGTAAAACACACATAATATCGATCTGACGTCCACGAGTGAGTGTGCTGGGTACAGATGTATACAGATCGATGTGTACAAAGACAGGTATGTTCTCACTTACACCTTCGACAGCTCAGTCGTTCTCGGTTTGTTTCCGTGTGTAGAGGGGGTTTGGGAATACCCCGGTGCGATGGCCGTAAATTTACACAGCCGGATATCTGGGTCATGGTAGACCGACAAGATAGGCCTAGTGGAAGCAGAACGGTCGTGACGACATCGTCTCCTGTCCGCTTCCGATTGAGTGGAATGAAGATAACGACAGTGCTGTAGCGGCAACTGTTCAGCAAACAATTTTTCTCAGCTGAAGCCAGTTTATACGTCTTGATCCCATCAGAAATGGACTATAAATTCGGAGGTCCTGCTACCCAAATTACCTTATTGTGTTGAAAGGGCAGTTGGATCTTTACAGTAACAGTCAAACCTGCTCTAACGACAATCTGTCTAAGACAACTACCTGTACAAACAGCCACTCCACCCCCCCCCCAATAAATCTGACTAGGGGGGGGGGGCGATAACTCAAAACAACATTTTACGAGAAATAACTTTGGAAAATTTACTTACCTTCAGCACTGATGACAACGGTACAAATTCAAGATTTTATATGTAGGACCCCTCCTTTTGAGTTGCCAATTTTTTTTCACCAAAGGAACCTAACACAAGTTCTGTGCACGTCTTTAGTCAACAGACTCTCACACTGGTTATTATTTAAGTAATGTCATTGCATGCCAATACACCCCTATATTGTAGGTGCCTTTCAGTTTTCACCCCTGCCACTGTTTACCGTCGTATGGTAGCCTATCATTATTTTCGAACCTCAAGCTAGGCGGACCTTGTCGTGGTGAAGTGAAAACTTCTTTGGTTCTTTTTTCCGACTGATAAGCGTCACTTGCTGATCCGATTTTCTTAGCCCACCCGCCATGCAGATACGACAGTTCGAGTAAGTGTCCACGCCGGTTAATGCTATCCGATCTAGGGTACACACGCCGCTTTTCGAGAAGTCTCGGAGATAAGGTGTGTGGGAGGGGGGAGGGGTCGTGTGTGTGTGTGTGTGTGTGTGTGTGTGTGTGTGTGTGTGTGTGTGTGTGTGTGTGTGT